TCTCTCTCTCTCTCTCTCTCTCTCTCTCTCTCTCTCTCTCTCTCTCTCTCTCTCTCTCTCTCTCCCTCGCTCCCTCTCTCTTCCACTGCTGTCATTGTGGCAAGGTCGGCAGCGCTTATCGGTCATGTTATGTCCTGCCCCCTGCCGGCTCCGGTAGTATACGTCCTTTCTACCGAGGGGGGCGAATCGACATTGTACACGCAACCCACCGACGTCGTCGACGTGCGTTAACGAAGCCGAAAACCCCAATGCCAGCGACACAATACCCCACACTGGGGCGACTCCAAAAACAAGATCCCCGCCTACCGGCCGGCCGCGCCACAGATCCAACAAGGAGCAAAGTATATTACTGCTGAAAAAGATCCCAGCCCACTCCTGGCTGTCATCCTCAGCTGAAGTGCTTCTTGAGAACCCACACGGTGCCTTCGATCGCGTCGTCCACTTTCGTTGCCACCTGAAAGAACCAGAGCAGAGCAAGACGGGTTGTTCAACGATGGCCCGACCGAACTGTCTTGTCTGACAAGCTTGTCTGCATACCAGCGTTCAACGGTGTTTCCCAGACGCGTTGTTTGCGAGTCTTCTTGCAACCACAAGTCACGGCACACTTGAACCACCAAATCGTGGCACAAAACAAATGATCACGCACGTTGCGTTAGATGGAAACGAATGTGTACCTATGACATCTAGGAGCCCACTCCCCACCCGAAAGACCCGGCGGGTGCGGCCTAAGCCGAAAACCACCACTTCCAGTACAGCCAGCGCCGCACTTGAATACTTGATGGTTTAGACCTTCATGCCCACCATTTTCACAACATAAGAACTTGAGCACCATTTGTGAGGCATGTTAAGAACCCCTTGAGCTAAAAGCCATAGAGCGGCCATTCGTAGCGTAACCCAGGAGCGAAGCAGCCCAGGCTCGGCCAAAACAGTAGCTTCTTTACTGCGAGCGCTAGCTGTAGTCGCAAAAACCGAAGCGCGGCGATTCCTGATGCCTGCTGCATTCTAATACCCCACTAAGGGAGCGGCCATCGCTGGTACCCGAAACAAAAAACAACGCAAACCAGCGCTCCTCCTGCCGTCACGCCGACACCATGACACAGCCCCTCCTGCCATTACAACACCATCAGACAGCCCTTCACGACTACACCATCACAACTCCAGGGCCTGGGCCACATGCTTCGGAGCATCTACAGCACACTGCACCGCACCGCACCTTCTTGAGGATCGCCCGAAGGTTGGCCACCGCCGCCTCCTTGTTCTTCTTGCCGTCCGCCTTCAGAGCCGCCACGAAATGCCCCAGGAGGGCCTGGAAACCCGCCAAGCCCAAGGCCCAACATGCGAACGGGTAGCGGGGGAAAGGACATGATCAAGCCCGAACGCTATGTTGGCCGGTGGGTTTCCAGGTGCCAAACGAAACGACGGGTTGTAGTAGGATGAGCAAGCCCGTGGTTTGCTGCATGACGGGCAAGCTGCGTTTCACTTCGGAGGCAAGCTCGATAACCGTACCACAAACTGGCACCAGGTTGTACCACAAAAGTAGCTCGTTCGCGACGAGCGCCCGAACAGTCTCGATAGAATCAACACTTCCAGCGGAACCTTCTGTGTCACTTTTCTCTCCCATATCAAGCATGTCTCGTCAGCGCCGAATCGAAGAGGTGACCATTCGTCTGTGACCCACTTGAAAAAAAAAAAAACTGTTTGTACGAACACAGCCGTATTGCATACACTCCAAGCTACGTATTCCGCGGAACAATCATGATACATATATCATCTACCCGAACCCATCCCACTGCAAACCGACCGAGTCAACACGTACTCCGTCCACCATCCACACTACACACAATCCGCATCAACCACGTTCCATCGTTCCACGTTCCTCGCGACCGCCAATTCAGCAACGAAAGCGTACGCATACCTTGCTGGCCAGTCGCCCGCCGTAGCGCTTGAGCGTCGCCACCACGTTCGCCTGGTTGATCTCCTGCGCCCCCTTCTTCTGCGCCGTTCTCGCGCGCTTGCTTCCGCTCCCCCCCTCGCCCCCCGACCCCTTACCCCCCGCCCGTCCCCCCGCGGAACCCCCCCCTTCCCCTCCCCCCACCTCCATTGCACTAGCTCCTCGTTTGCCCGAGCCCCCTCCTCCTCCTCCTGCCGATGAGTCAGCACCGTCTCCCGCGGGAGCACCGGCGGCGGGCTTTGGGTTTCCAGGGGGGGGTACGGTAGGGGATGCTCTCCCGATGTCCCCTGAAACGGTGTAGTCGTCCTGCAGCAAAAAGAAGGGGCGACGGAAGAGAGGAGCGTGACGCTAGATGTGAATCAGGGATAGAGCCTGCGAGGGCGGTTTCGGGACATGGGCACGAAGGCGTACATCGTCTGTGCACTTTGGTATTATTGCTGCTGCCGCCGATGTTCTCAAAACGTGAAGGACGGGGAAAACGACCGAAAGCCCCATCTCCTTCACACGTACATTGTTCATGTTTCCAGAACCGCCTGAGCAACCTAATGCGTGCCCATTCATTGGCTTCTCGCTCGGCGGCGAAGTGAGAGACGTGATATGTTCGGTGCAGTCAGGGCTTTCACCACTGAAATAGAGCACACAACGCGAGTTCAAGCGCCTCCCCTTCCCCCCCCCCCCCCCCCCCCCCCCC